ACCCTTGCCACACTGTGCCTGTGGAAGTCGGAGGACAATGTGTGGGGTCAATGCTCTCCCTCTCCCATATGGATTCTGGGGATTCCATGTGAACTCAGGTTCTCAGGCTTGATGGCAAGCTCCTTTGCACAGAGCCATTTTGTCAGCCGCCCTTTTTAATCCATAAAATGAGAGAGCTTGGTCAAGGTCAGCATTATCCAATAAATGTGAGCTATATATAATTTTAGTTGCCATATTAAAAAAAGTAAGAGGTAAAACATTTCATATATTTAAAATTCATTCCAATATAATAATGCTATTTATAGCCATTTAGCATTTTTCACACTCCCTTGAAAATGCAGCATACTTGTAATTCACTACACCTCCCAATGCATCCTGGCCTCGTCTCAAGTGCTCAGTGGACACATGCGGCTGCTGGCTACGGTTTGGGATTGGGCAACATTGGGCAGCACTGATCGAGATGGTGTGGGGACACTGACTGCATTTCTCATTTTATCATTTGCACAAGGGAGGTGCCTGACCATGTTCTTGGGCATTCAGTGTTTCAGGTATCAAAGATCTCTCTACCTGTGTCCCTTGTTTTATCTATGGTTTGGTTCCCCCTTTTGTCTCTGCCCACTCCTTCCCAGTCTATGAACGACTGAAAAGAAAAGAGTTCAAAACTGAAAGATGTGAAAATGCAGGGAAAGCAAACAGGAGCCATCGCACGCAACCGGTCTCACAAAATGATTCCCCACTTGCTCTCCAAAGTCTCTGAGACTAGCAAGCTTTAGGGGGCTTTAAGGAGATCAACTCAAAGTCTTTCTTTCTCAATTACTCAGTCTCAGAAATTCTATGTAAGAGATCCATTGGCACCTGACTGTCAGGGGCCTTCAGAAGCCAAATACCTTCCATGGCCCTGCACCATGTCAGCAGGGAGATGGTAGGCTGCTGCAGGAAGACGGCCCCTGCTAGGTGCTCCGGTGCTGGGGTGGAGGGGGGCAGAGAGTAAGTATAACCCCTGCCTAAAGTAACAGAGGCTGGGATGGGAAGGTGGAGGATCGTACAGGCACACTGCAATGACCAGCAGACCCTGGAGTGGGCCACATCAGAAGCCTGAACAGGAGGGCTGAGTGGTCCAGGAAGAGCTGCCTTCTTTATTCCTTCAGACCAGCATCTTCCCAACAGCTGGGGGCAGACGCTTTTTCAGCACCACCTTCTGTCTCTTCAGAAGCCCCGCAGCTGGCCGTGGCTGAACCCCGAGTGTCAGTGCTGGAGGGAGAAGAGGCCTGGCTGGGCTGTGCTCTCCAGCAGGGCACACCACCTGCTCAGCTTCTCTGGCTAGGACCCCAGCAACAGCCGTTGGAACAAAGTACTTATGGATTCGTGCTACACCCTGAGGGTACCCACCTGCGCCTTCAAGTCCGAGATGCTGACCCAGCACACCACAGGGGCACTTACCAATGTGTGGCCCGCAACGCCTTGGGCAATAGCAGCCAGAGTGTGCTGCTGGAGGTCCTGAGTGAGTGTAAAGGATGTGTGTGCTCCTGTGGCAGGGGACATAGGGGACCAATAGCTGTAGAGGGCTTTGCAGAAAGCTTTGAAAATTGCTTTCTCCAAAATTAAGGCACCTTCTAGAGAGGAATATGAATCTGGTGGGTTCTTAAGTACGGGCACATAGAACTCCACACTCGCTCATTTTATCAATGAGAAAATGGAGATTACAGATGCTCAGGGATACACACGCCACCCCATCTCTCCTCTCTGCAGACTGCCCACAGGAGAAAGCCCCATAGCTGGTGCTAGGCAGATGCCTGTATGTATCCCCTTCTTCACTCACCTCCAGGGTATCCAGCCCCTCCCAACGTCACCATCAGCCGCCTGACCTACAGGCGACAGCGGAGAGAGGTGCAGCTGCAGTGGGCCATCTACGGCCCTGGAAACCTGACGGGCTTTCTGGTGCAGCAGAGGGCCAGCGTCCCGGGCTCAGAAGCTGGTGCTTGGGAGGTAGCAGCTCGTGACATCGAGCCAGAGAGCAGGGACCGCCGTCTGGGAGGGTTGGACCCAGGAGTCCTTTATGCCTTCCGCATCCTGGCTATGAATCACCACACTGCAGGACATCCTTCAGAGGTGAAGACACCAGGTGCTGGGCTGGCAGCAGGGAGGAACTCGCCTTTCCCCGCCTCCTCACCCCCCAAGAACTGAAACCTGGTCCATTCTCCCCTTCACAGGGTACCCTGCTCCAGTACTTTGCTTCCATCCTGACGAGTCCCTTAGCCTATGTATGCGTCAATTCCTTCTTTCCTATTGCTCTTTACTATCTCTCTCTCTCTGGGCAGCTTAGGAGGCCCCAGGCTTAGGAGCAGACCCCTAGTCCAGGGTCAATCTGAAGAAGCTGGAGAAAGCATGTGATGTTGAGGATTTAAGAGGAGCCCACCCTGTGCCTCAGTCTCACCTCTCAAGGAATAGGAGGTCTCAGCTTCCTGTTGCTCCCTCTGTCCTGGGAATTTCTTATTTTATGGCCTAGTTCCTTCAGGCCTGATATGCCAAGATAAGTAGCCTTATGTATCTCTGCCAGACATGGGGATTTGGCTGGGAATCAAACCATCAGCACCAGGCAGCCAGGACACCTCTTTTGATGGGAAAGAGCTGAACTCCACATTCCCTGGGTCTCTCACAATAGGCAGCAGAGCCTTTGGGATATGCAGGGTACCATCTGTGCGTCACTGTTGCCCAAGTTCATGGACGGGGCTAATTGATACAATGCATGCTCTCGCCTCCTAGTGGACCCTGCCTTCAGTGTCTACCCAGCTGTACTGGGTGCTGCGGGCACAGGAATGGCGGTGGCATTGGTGGCCTCTCTGTTGGTGTTCCAGTATGCTGCCCGGCACCCCCACACACTGCCCTGTGAGTGCGAATCTGAAAGGATGGCTGCTTGACCCCACAGGGTGGCCAGGTGTAGACCCACCCAAACGGGAATCTAGACTCTTCCTTTGCTGGATGTCATCCTTTGATGATCAAGACCCCAGCCAGCCTCAAGCTCTGGGGCCATTCCCCTTAGGTTCCTGAGACTGCATGGAGCCCTCTAGGAAGGGGAGGGCCGTTTTCCTGGGGTCCACACTGCACTGGTCCAGTTACGATCTTTCCTGTCTTCCCACAGGCCTCAGTCGGTTGCTTGTTCCCATGTGAGTGTACAGCTTATCTTTATGGGGCCGGGGCTTCTCTGAATCAGAAAGGAAGGCTGGGGAGGTGCAGATGCCTCTAACAATCCTCTCTCCCTTACCTACCTCAGGGAGCACAGGCAACAACAGGGGGTCCCCAGGGAAGGCACCGAGGCACCAGCAGGTAGGCACCACCTGTGCCAATGCCTACACAGAGACCCCCGCTGGGTTCCGTGCACGTGGTCTGTCTTGTCCTCTGAGAGCGGCCTCGTCACCCTCTCTTGCTCTTCTCTGCTCACTTGTGCTCTTTCTAGGTACTGAAACAGCAGCTGCCACCTCAGGTTCAGACCCTGCACAAGAATCCACGGATGCTCCAGTGAACGTCACCATCACAGTGACTGCAACACCAGGAGTTCAGTGAAGGTGCAAACAGGCTGAGGGAAGGCAAGGAGGGTAGCAATGAGCCCGTCAGACTTGGGTCCTAAAACCAAGGGGGCAACTCTCCCTTCCCCATCCAACACGCACATACTAACTACTTCCGACTCAATATCTAGACTGGAAAAGTGGTACATGGCCCCGCTGCAGCACCTCACATGATGGAAGAAGCCCTGATCCAGCCTGTGGCAGATAGAGGAAAACACACAACCAACCGGAGACAACATGGAAGGCATCTGAGAGCAGCTGAGAATGAAATGGTACAGGGAATGTCTCTGATACCAGGGAACTAAGAGGTAGCTAAGCTCTTTCTAGAAGAGGTGCGGAGAGGCACTGGATTGAGCCATTTCCTAACTCAATTACATCTACGTCTAGCAGAGTTATTTCAATTACAAACTTCTGAGCTGGTTGCTTGGGCTGTGCTTTATCAGCAGGAAGAAGCAGGTGCCTAGCTATGTGTTCCCTTTGTTGAAATGCAGCCTAGGAGCATCGCTGACCCTGCAGTGGTCAGACTCCGGGAACCTGTGCCAGCGGAGGTATTCAACAACACTCCCGCCACCAGGCCTTAGGGAGCTGGCTGACGAGAGAGAGAATGGAGGCTGTTCCAAAGTCACACTCAGATAGCTGCCAGCGTGAGTCACTGGCTCCGAGTGTGTGTGTGTGTGTGTGTGTGTGTGTGTGTGTGTGTGTGTGTGTGTGTGTGTGTGTGAGCGCGCATCTGAAATCTGGGTGAAACACAGTGAGTGCTTGTTTGGCTGACTGGAAGAATCGGAGCTGCCTCCGCAGAGGACTCGGAGGAGAAAAAAACAGCTGCGGAGCCAGGGCTGATCTGCCAGCAACAAGGAAAGTGGCGCCTGACAGCAGACAGAAACTCAAGCTTCTTTGGTTCTCACACTTCGGCTTTATTAGAAAAGGGTTTCAGCTTTCCTCACAGCTCTCAGGACTGACTGGGTCTAAGAGTTAAACGTGGTTTATTTAAGTGTGGGAAATGAAATACAAAATGGCCACACCCGTCTGAAGGGATTCTGTTGTTTTTCTGGTCAGGGAAGATGAACCACTTCCACTATTCAAGGTGGTAAAGCAAGTTTCTTGGAAGGTGCTACATTCCATCCTGGAGTTCACACTCCAAGGATCCTGAGGTTGCGGTAACAGACACTATGAGGAAGAGCTTCCTCCCACCACACTTCTCCCCCATCCTCCTGACTATCCCCAACAGCTGCCCATGGTCCTGCTCCCTCCCAATCCCGACAGTTAGGACAAGGGAGAGGTGGTCAGGCCCTTGGGCATTCACCAGGGATTTGCAAAGCAACAAGGTGGAGATTATGAAGTCTCCAAACAAGACATTACACACCCTAGTCACACGCCACAGGGCCACTTTGTGCCCACAGGAGTGCATGAGTACCCCTCTTCACAGGCAACTCTGTGTGAAAGCAGCATTCTCTTTTAATATAAAATCATATCAACCAAATAAAACCTGTCAAAACTACATCACTTAAAGTATGTACAATTCCAAACATAATATCACAACTTTAAGGAAAATAAAACATATTTTTCAATATAGTACAAAACATGCATCTCAGGGTCAATGCTGTAAGAGTGAGCAATACAGGTAAGGACAATTCCAAACAGTCTCTTGGTAGCGCTGAAGCTAGTGGAGAAAAGTGACATGATCAGCATGATGTGATGCCTTGGTCTTCAGAGATTCAGTCAATACAAAGAGAACCCCGCAAAAACCTTGCCGATGAGATCACTCTAACAGTTTAGAATAATGCAATGAGCCCGTACCCTGTACAGCACCTATTACCAGAGTCAGCACATAACTAAAGAACACAACCAAGGAGTGGCAACATGATTCACTAGGACTGGGGTAAGTTTAATGCTAAACAGTCACCCAAAACATGAAGAGGCCCTACCAACTTCACAGTCATCCGAGCCAGTTGAAGATCAAACCTCCACGGAGGAGGGAGGTGGGAGGAGGGGGGTGAGGTCTAGGGCAGGATGTCAATGACAGACTCCTGAAGGACTTGGCTCTGCTCTGCCGGTTTGGGGTGAGGGTGGACAGAGGGGAGCTCCACTAGCTGCAGCAGCGGGAGCCTCACAGAGAGAGCGCGCAGCAGGGGCGGACAACAGCACATGTTCTGGACTGGTCGGTCCCATGGAGAGTGAATCGGGACAGTTCCAGAAAGCAGGTAACTGGGAACACAGGCGATGGACCAGGAAACGGCTCCAGTGCAGGCTCCAGATGATGCGTGAGTGGGGGATTTCATGCCTGCTCTGTTTGTTGTGGGGATGGGATGAGAGAACACTAACAAACGGAGTCTAATACACAGCAGTTCCTCCACAAATGTGTGCCACCCCCCTATTTTCCTATGGCCTCTTAATTCCTGGGGAACTGACACTTGCTAGGACCACTTTTGGTGCTGTGCAGGGCATGAAAGTTCAGAGAAATTCACACTAAGGAGACCTCAAACTCCTAAATATAAAGGCAATTATATAGATTTATATTTATATTTATATATCTCAATATATAAAGCCATTTTTATAAATAAAATACAATAACATGGATAACACTTAAAACAGCGTTACTATCATAAATAAAGCAGTCCACAACGAGATTGCCCTAAAGGTAAAGTCATTTTCTCTTCATCATGGGCAAGCCCCATGTCAAATTCAATCTTTAAAAGCAGTTTTTGACCTAAGGCTCATGCCAGCACACCTCCGCTTCATGAGTCACAGTGAACTGCCCACAGACGTCTGCTTCCTGCTCTCTGGGACGAGGCAGCTCTGTTCTAACTCGACTGGCAAAACACATAGTCTGTCTCTATGTCATGTGTACTAGGACTCTGTCCTTTGCTAGTCACAGATGCAAGGGCTACAGCTGACTGCCTCCAAAACTAACTGCAGATCTCCTATGCTATAGTTGTGAACCCCAAGATCCCAGAGCTTGCTTCTACAGGAGCCCCACTCCCCAGCTACGGGATTCTGTTCACTGCACTCTACCAGGAGCAACGGGCATAGCGGCCCTGCTGAAACAGCACATATCCACTAACAGGTCTATTTATAAAAGATACAAAGACATGTAAGGGAATACTGACACATTTATAGAGAGCTGATTAGTGTGCAGTATCTTATTCTCTTCCACTGCAGTTTGTGGCAAGCTAAAACAAAACGTATGCTGGAATTGTTGGATCCCACATAAAGAGAATAGTTTTCTGGGTTTTTTCCTCCCCAAGGGACACACCATTTAAAACCAGAGCAGTGATCCATCAGGGCCTGGTTCAAGCTATGAAATGCATTTGTAGTGCCTGAGGTTTCTGTTTTACACATGGAGAAAAAAAGCCTCCCAAAGGCAGCTGCAAGGTTCTTGCCCCTCAGAAAACAGTAACTGTGATGCATAGACCCTGCTGACCAAAGATTGAGTTACTGTTCACAATGATGACACCCAGAAAAACTGTCAGAAAATGTCCCTAAACCTTTTCTTCAAGTTTAGCCTTCTGTGACATCTGCTACGATGTGGATACTGTTTTCCAAAGGCCTATGTGATAAAGGCCTAGTTCCCCCGGTGGCATGTTTAAGAGGTGGTAGAGTCTTGAGCAGGGGATGAGGGTGAGGGTTTCAGACCTAGAGGCATGTTCTCAGAGGGGATCTGTACGCCCTGCTCCTCTTCTCTTTCTCCCCTTGCCTCAGGCTTATGGTGGAAGCTATCTTGCTTCACCATGTGTGTCCACCATAACGTGTTCCCTCAGCACAGGCCCCCAGCTACAGGTCCATTTGATCACAAACTGGAACTCCTGCAACTGTATTTTGCTATGGCGGGAGAAGCCTGACTCACACATGCTCACTCATACCTTCCAGGATATTGCCCATGCTGGAAGTGACAAAATGACAATCTTCAAATGGTGTGGCACTATGCACACTACGGAACAGAATACAGAGCTTCACTTAGATAGGTCCCTTCAGCCCTCTTCTTTCTTCCTAAGGTGTATGACATCTTCTCTTCAAGCTGCTATCAGTTTTAAAGTCTTATTTTGTACCTACCCTTGCAAACAGTGCAAAGAGCCCGTGGTGACCATTTTGCAGTGGACCATGAAGGCATTCATTTTCTTTCTGAACCTGGTTCCCTTTCTATATAATGCAATAATCCAAGCAGACCTTACATGCTTCCATGTTCATAACACGGGCTAATTTGCTACCCAAAAGATTGAGCATTACTTGTACCCAGGTATAGAGAGAAAATAAGTCAGTATCAGTACTTTTCTGGAAGGCAGTCATAAAATTTGTCAGTTGGGTTTGCTATGATAAACATAAGATCACAACTCTAGTTGATGTCTCAATGTTCTCAGAAAGTCTGACAACACAGGATAAGCGACAGTTTTCTATCTGGGGGTGACTTCAAATGGCTTGGGCAGTCCTCCTGCCCACAAATGAACAGGCCAGAAGATGGGACCCAGCACAAGTTCCTGCTGCCATTGAAGGTTCTGGAAAACACAGAATGATCCCTCTGCTCTCCAGATGATTAAAAACTACATAAAACAGGTGGGAGGGGACCTACTGAGGGGGAGGAAGAAGTGAAAAGGGGAATACTTAAGGCATAAATAATATAAAAGGGCACACATTTTAAGATACATTCATGACATTATTACTACAAAAAATAAATAATGATTTTTCTCTGGTTTGAATTAATGTCCTTCACACAGTTTGTCCCCAGGCCTGTGTACTTCCTCAGGTCTCTTGGGCTTGCTGAAGGACCACGGACAGCCCGTCTAGAGGAAGGCCAGGAGACCATGCTGTCTTCTCGGTGCAGTCCTCCAAGACAGGCGACAAAATAAGAGGGTTCCAACTTAAAACTTTGTCCTCTGCTCCCGAACAGCTACTGCCCTCTCCTGAAAAACACAGAGAATTGGGTGCATTGTAGACTAACATGGTCTTCACACAGCTGTTTCTGAAAACAGTGTGTTGAATAATAAAGAAATATGCAGAAGTAAGTCTCACTTAGGTTTGGTTTGAATCTGAGGAAGAAAAGTACATTAAACACCCCCCAATTCTCTTGAGTTACTCTATAAGTCATTGAGATTAAAGTGATCCTCTTAAGAGCCCCTAAAAAAGTACCTTAAAGAAAGATTATCGTTCCTATAGGGACTCAAAGGAAAGCAGGGCTAATGCATTATTCCGCAAAGTCCCCTGCTCTGGGACTAAGGAGTCCAAGCCTGTTTGGATAACATCCCCTAATGCAATGGGATTAGCAACCTGAGCCATCTATGGCCATACCATCCTGAATGTGCATGATCTCATCTGATCCAGAGCTAAGCAGGGCCAGCTTTGGTTAGTACATGAATGGGATAAATAGTGTGGGCTGAAGGATGTAATAACAGAATTTCTAAGAATCTCTTATCCATCCTTGTCTTTTCTGGAAGTACCCAACATCCCCACCCTGTCTTCTAAGCAATCAGTGAGCTGATTATAGAAAACCTGCTGATATAGTTCTTAGCCCACTGGAGACCAGAAACTTAAGGAGCAAAAATGCCTTCCTGTACCTCTGCTGAACTCTGCTGTATCTTCTGTGGAGTCAGAATTGATGTCACTTGTATTGTCCTGACAGCAGGTATGCTGGGTAGGTGTTGGTGCCACACTGTCCTTGATGTTCTCCTCAGGTAACTGGCCACAATCAGGAACTGTGGAAGCTGGACACACAGGTACCTTCAAGGTACTGAGGGGCTTCATTTCCAGACCATCCTGAGGATAAGAGGCCACCACTGGGACCAAAGGAAGGGGACTGTTGGTTTTGGTGAAACACCTGCAGAGTTTAAGCCAAAAGAAACAGAACTGAGTGTTTAGGGGCACCAATAATTAAAATAAGCTCATTTAAAAAATATAATGAATATTTTAAATTCACAAACTCTTAAGAATTACGCTTAAAAATAATTAATTGGCTCATTCTGATTTGAAATAGCAAAACCCTGAAAATTAGTTATTAGTGAGGACAGGAGAATGCACCAAAGGCAAACCTAAGGAAGAACCTTAGGTTTCTGTGACGCAACGCATGTCGCAACGCATGTACTTCCCTTTAGTTCACTGTCAGAGGCCATCTCTCATTTCATCAACTAGTCCCCAAATACAGCACTCAGGAGCAGAAAACACCAGCTACTGCAAGGAACGAGGGAGAGAAAGAGAGGACAGAAAGCTAAGACACACGACTGCACGAATGACAAATGACCTCTAGACAGTCAGAATAAAAATACACGGCTTTGAATCAGACGGTGCATTCGTTCCTTTTCTTGCTGCTGTGAGAAAATACCGGATGAAAGTGAGTTGAGGAGGGGAAGGTTCACCGAAGCTCTGAGTTCAAGGGAATGATGCATCATGGTGCGGAAGGTTTAGGGACAGGAGCTGCAGCAGCCGGTCACACTGCATCTGCAGTCGAGAAGCTGGTGTCTCGTTGGCTGTCCCCCTGTTATTCAGTCTGGGACCCAGTCACAGAACAACGATGCTGCCAGTCAGCCTTCCACTTCCGTTAGCCTAATCCAGGAGCTCCCTCAGTCATGTCTAGAGGTTGGTCTCCTAGAGGATGCTAGCCGCTGTCAAGCTGACAGCCAGTGTTAACCCTGGCAGGTGGTTTTCCTCGCAGCCTGGGAGGAAACCGTACAGAGCCCAGCCATTCAGAAGCCAAGAGTTGTAAGATGTTTTTCCCACTGTAGAATTAATGGGCTGCAATTTACCTGCACTGAACATCTCCCTTCAGTTCCATTCTACTTCTGTTCCCTGCCTCCAGCTAAGAAGTGTGCTCTCAAACTGGGTAGTGTCTGACCAGCCTTCTAGAGCTCTGACTCTTCCGCTGCTTCCTGCGGTCGCTGTCACACCCACCCTGCACACTCCCCATTCAACCTGCTGGGCCTTTCCAGCCCTGAAGTTTCCACTTGGATTCTTCTTAGCTGATAGGCCCATGTGCTCATTTCCTGAGTTACTTGTCTTCCGAAAGTCCCTGAACATACTTATAATATCTGCTTGGTGCCACTGTTTGCTAACAGTGATGTTTGGGCCATCTCAGGATCAGCTTCTAACGTCCTCATGTTTCTCTCCAAGAAGCACCACAGTCCCGTTTCCTTGGATGAACTCTAATTCTTTTTCATTTCTGATTGAATCTTCTGGGTGTTTTACTGTCATTGACTCAGTCTTCTGCCACGTTCTTTCTCAGGCCCTCACCCCAAGACTGGAGAAAGCCTTCAGGAGTGGGTTCCAGTTCAGTTTCCAACTGCTCCAGTTACTCCCCAATATTGTTAAATTGTCTACAGTTTACCATCGCCATCTGTAAGAATGAGCTGTTCCTGTTACTGGTACATTTTTCTTAATTTCTACAATCGGGACTAAGAAAAGTTTGAAAATGATGGGCTTTTACGTAAGGCAGGCAGGAACAACACAGAAGAGAGCATCTGGGTGCTAGAAATGGGCCATATGAGAGAATAATGGTCAGAATTCTTTATTTCCATCTTTTACACGTGGGGGGGTGGACAGGCTTCTGGGACAACCAATTAGGAAAGAGGTCCAGTTCTGTTGGCTCAAGTCATTGGAGAGACCAGTTTCAAGCAAGATGGTGCAGACAAGCCTGAAAGAGAACAGACACATGTCAGTAACTCGAGTCATTAACTTAAACCCAACTCCTATTTCAAATAAAAAAAAAAATACATAGTTAAAGGACACTAGAGATCTAATTAACTTTTGATAATATGGCAAAACTATGAATATGACCCACATTTTCCCATGCAGGTCTTCAACTAGTGTAAAGGATAAAGAGGTACAGACAGGAATGTCCTGGAGTCAGACCCAGAGCCCTGCCATAGACACGTCACCTCTCAAAAGAGTCCAGTATTAACTCTGATTTGCTCTTTTGGCTGTTTTATGCAACTCAGAACTTCTAACAATGTCTTTTAATCAATGTCTCCCTTCCACATTGCATTATGTTGTTAGTCTCTCCGGGTCTCATACTCAGTGGACCCCAAAGTCCCCCTGTGGATTCAACACATGGTACCCACAGATTCTGAACATTAAAATTTTAACATTAAAATATGGGGTGATGTCAAGGAGGAAATCTTTCTAGTTTCCAACTACTTGAGAAAATTTAATGGGTATGAGGGTCTCCATAAGTACTCTCCCAAAGAAGATTCCCTCCAACCGTCAAGCACTGTGGTAGACATTGTGAATAACAAGGTAAAAACAGCGGTGGTCCTGTTCCCGGCTAGCAGAGGAGGCAAACAAGCAAAAAAAAGTTAGAACCAAATGTGGGGATGTGGAAGGAAGTGGTGCTGCTGCTGCTGCATGTACTTCCCAGGCTGCATCAAACTCTACTGACTTCATAGCCGAGGACCTGGCATCAGTATCAACTATGGAACTGGGGCATTTCAAAAACCCAGAAGTATCTCTAGTTAGGGGAATCAGTATGGCTGCTGTGACTTATTGGAAGTATTTTTTTTTCTTGGTTTTGTTTTGTTTTATCTCAAGACAGGGTTTCTCTGTATATCCCTGACTGTCTTGGAACTCACTCTGTAGACCAGGCTGGCCTCAAACTCACAGAGATCCACCTGCCTCTGCCTCCAGAATGCTGCCTGGCTTGGAAGTATTTCTTAAAATTTAAATTCCAGGCTCCCAGCTCTGGCTGCTTAGTTTATATCAGAATATCTGTCCTGCTAAGAACCACTAAAAGGATGAAAGAATTTTACTTTAAATTTGCTCAAGGCATCAGGAGTAAAGCTTGTGTGGCTAAGGGTGTAGAGAAGGTGAATGTGAATCTGATCTTCAGCCCTTCCTTTTCTCTTGAGGCATCTGCTCAACAGAGTGCAGATGAAACTCTACAGATCAAGAATTGAGCTAAGAAGCTGACCTGACCTGAACTTTTAAAAGCGTCGTTGGGGCTAGGAAGACAATACTGGAGTTCAGAGCCTGACCAGAAGAAAAGGCCTGGGAAACACACATAGGCTTTTAGATGAGATTCTCAAAGGGCTACATCCTACAGGTAAGAGTGAGACAGGAATAGACTGGACCTTTAAAAACTCGTGTATATGTGAGAGAGAGTGCTATATGTATGTATGGTGTATGCTGTCATGTCTGTGCAGGTGTATATGGCCCTGTGTGCATGCAAGGCCAGAGGAAGATGCCCAGCATCTGCTCGATCACTGCCCACCTTTTCTTTGAGACAAGGTCTCTCACCACATCTGGAGTTAGGCTGGCAGCCAGGGAACCACAGCAATCCTCCTGTCTCCACCTTCCCTAGCACTGGGGTCATAGTATCATTGAAGCTGTGTCCAGCTTTTTACATGGGTGCTCGGGATTTGAACTCAGGTCCTCCTGAGTGTGTGGAGAGCGCTCTTCCTTGCCGAGTCCTGCTCCAGCCCTTAGACTAGGTTTGTACAAAACCTAAAACTCAGCATCACATTTGTTCAACTCTAGTTGGGCTTCGAGTGATTGGACCCTCATCCAACTATATGGCCAAACATTAAAGTAAATCCTTTCTGGAAGGAAACATCTTCTAGAGCTTTATACCAGTTACATAGCTTACACGGAAAAAAATATTGCCAAGTATTAAACGAGAACAAGAGAAAACAAGTTGGGGTGGAGAGACAGCTCAGCAGTTAAGAGCCCTTGTTACTCTCGCAGAGGCCTTGCGTTCAGTTCCCGGCACCCACATGGTGACCCACAACCACCCATAACATCAATTCAAGGGGATCTGACCCCTTCTGACCTCTGGTAGACAGGGACAGTGCTGGGGTGTTGAAGGTCTCCAGGCTGAAGGAAAAGTGAGAGTCAACAGACAGAAGAAAGAAAATAATACAGAGATGAACACTGTTGCTACTTAGCAACAGAAGGGAAGGGTAGACACTGACTCCCAATAAACATAAGCATTAATGACAGAGTCTGAGAGGATTTCTAACTATTTTAGTACAAAAACTTATAAAAAGAACATAAAAAAGCAGGAAGAAATGGAGGTAAACTGTTTTAAAGTATTGTACTGTCTGGGAAGTAGGATGGATTCTTATTTATTTTAACTTGTTTAGTGTGTGTGTGTGTGTGTGTGTGTGTGTGTGTGTATGCACGCACGCGCACATGTGTTACAGTGTGCACATGTGGAGGTCAGAAGACAGCTTGTTAGCGTTGGTTCTCTCCTTCCACTATGTGGAATCTGGGGACTGAACTTAGGTTGCCAGGCTCTTTACCACCTAAGAGCCCATCTTTCCAGCCTCTTGTGTGATTCTAAGGCACATTAGACTCTAGCTAAAGTCATAAAGCTCAATGCCAAGCACATAGTAATGATGTACAGTAGGACTTAAGAAATGTAAGGTAAATAAGCAATTATTAGCATTGGAAAATTGGGCTTTTGTAAATACCTCTTCTCAAGCAAGGCAACTCTTAAGGAACAGCATTAAGCTCATTAGGAGTTGCTGCTCACAGTCCAGACCTCTCCCATGAGGTAAGACATTGATACTGAAGCAGGAGAACCCAGAACACTATCCTTGGCTGTCTGCATCACAATACTAACTGTCCATCCTTGTTCAATAGAGAGCTATTTCGTTGGCTAGATGCTTTCCCTACTATCTGTTGACATCAGAGTTGTCCAGAAGTCAGGCAATGACTGTCCTCAGTGTCACAGGTGACAGCTAAGGATAAGAAGACAAAAAGCACAGCCGGGCCCTCAACCTTGACAATGTCACACGTGCTACATGAACTTCCGCCTCCTGCTTCCCTTTCTCCACAGAAATCTGAAGGTAATGAAAGGTGCCAGGAACTTAGAGGCCAAAGAAGGATCAG